GCATTTCCTGCTGATTTGGGGCGATTGAATACATTTCGATTTGATTTATGTGTCATGTTTCCTAATGATTATCTATATTATAATTGTTTTTTAGGGTGAATTGCCAACCATACGTTCTGCCCCGCAAAATGTAAACAACATTAAAAGCAATTTTCTTTCAAATTTAAAAATTATTATATTAGTATAACAAAAAAAGAAAGACCTTTTACTGAATGACTGAGATTACTTACAAATATGTATATAAAAAATACAGAATTGACTGAATAATAATAACAATTAAAAAAATAAAAGCCATGATATGTTTGTTATTAAATACAAATACACGTCAACAGCATATTATGCCGTTAATCCTTTCACACTTGATCTCTTCAAAATCATCTTTAATTGGAGGCAATGATTGTTTACCTGAAGCGATAAACCTTAGTGCCATATAAATCACCAGGACAACTGGTACTAAGCACACAGGCATCTTGTAAAGTTATCTCATCTTAGCTAATCTCTTAGTGGAGGAAAACAGTTATGACATCACTTACCGCGACTCTGGGATTGTAGTTCTTTCTAGTTGCAATATGTTTCATAGTCTTATATTTCAACAGTTTTTACACAAAACTAGACTAATAACACATGGAAATTATTTTTTAAGAATTGACAAACATCATATGTGTAATTCATCGGCACAATTCAAACGGGAACCCGAACATAAGTTTTTCTCTAAAATTCATTGACTTTCAAATGCATAATCTTTCCGAAAATAAGGCCCATGGAGCTGGAAGTAGATTTAGGCGTGACTTCGCCAATGCGATTGCGGGGAGACCTCTGGTCAATCTACAGAGGGACCCAACAAGGCTCTCGCCGTCTTCACAGTAAACTGCGGCAGAGACACGGGCAATTAACCCTTCACCATTCGGAGCAGAAACTGAACAGGGCAAGACTCAAAGGATTTATCCCCTTCTTTGGAAATTTTATTTTGAATAAAATAAATCAAGTTATTTAGGTAAAATCTAATAAAACATTTAACATTTTTAATGTTTTCAAGTATTCTTTTTTTTTTTTTTTTTAGAATATCTAGGCCGCTCACAGAGGGCTAGAGGGCCATGACGGCTCGCGGCACGGATCTAGGTATTTCAGCCCCTGAAGCACAGTTATGTCGAACATGTTTTGTAGTTTCAGTTAGCACAACTCACCGTGTGTTGTGTCCTCCCGTAGATTTGTTAGCTACCTATTTCTCCCTGTTTTTCGTTATATTGTGAAGTCTGCGTCTGGCTAACCCCCTTTTTTGTTGTTCCTGTCATTTCCTTTTTACCTTTAAATTAATCTCCTTCCTCTCATTTTCAGGTAGTTCGACCCCTCCTACCCTGTCCAGATGCGATGTTCACTGACATGATTACCTTGCCCCCGCCCTTATTGTTTGCACCCTTGTAGAGTCCCCTTGTGTGTGTATTATAGTCTGTGTTTTCTCCCCTGTTCCCAAGTGCCAGATCGTTTCGACCTTGTGGTACTTGTCCGCCAGTTGTGTGCTAAAAGTCAATCTAAAGTTAGCGTTTTTTGTGAAGTCATTTGGAGAGTTTGTGTTAGCCTTGTGTATCACCACAAGTAAATTCTTTTTTTGAATCGATCTTTTTGGCTCGCATGGAAGTAGTTCCGATTGTGGGCTAGCATGCTATCATGTGTTTTTGTCTGCTCCAGTCGTAACATTACGATCTGGCCAACAAATGGACTCAGCCGACTCTCAAACCCTGAGAGCAGCGCTTTGTTCTCAGGCTCAACGTCCGCGGCAGCAGGAGGAGAACATGAAGGACATAAACCAGGGAGTAATGACCCTGACTAACAGCCAGAGTGAGTTTCGTGGTGCAGTTACTACGCAAATCAATCACCTGGCTGAACAGCTCCAGAATGTACTCACACATTTGGATAATGTGCACGCTGCTCCTTCCGACGTGGCTGCCCCAGCTCCAGAGCCTACAGCTGTTTTTGCCATGCCAACTTCCATGATTCGTCTTGCTCCTCCTGCAAAGTTTTCGAACGAGTCTGGTAATTGCAGTCCTTTCCTAACACAGTGTGACCTGCATTTTACCTGCCAGCCTGCTGCTTTCCCCAGTGATCTAGCCAAGGTGGCGTTCATTGTGTCTCACCTCACGGGAAGAGCGGAAGCCTGGGCTACGGCGGAGTGGGCACGGAAGTCTCCGGTGAGTAAATCACTACAACTATTCACTGAGACTATAAGAACAATCTTTGACCGAACCACACCGGGGAGAGAAGCTGCCAGAGCCCTGACACAGATCTCCCAGCAGAATCAGAGTGTGGCTGACTACGCCAATGATTTTCGCACTTTGGCCACGGACAGTGGATGGAATGAAGACGCACTATATGACATGTTTTTCAGCGGACTCAGTGACTGTGTGCGGGATCTTCTTATTCCTCTTGATCTTCCGCCGGATTTGGACAGTATGATCGCCTTGGCTATACGGACAGACGGTCGGCTGCAAGAGCGACGGAGGGAGAAAGCCAGGAAAGCGTCACCTCCGCTAGCTAAACGAGGAAACTCACCTCCTGCACGATCTCCACGACGACCCGAATTTCGTACCCACTATCGCTCCTCTACTGTGAAACTTGCTTCGTGGACCACAGAAGAGGAACACATGCAGCTCGGAAGGGCCAGGCTGTCTCCCGAGGAAAAGCAGCGGCGTCTCCGGGAGCGTTTATGTTTCTACTGTGGGAAGTAGGGACATTTCCTGGGAGCCTGCCCCGTTAAAAGACGGTGCTCACCAGTAAAGACGGAAGGGTGCTGGTGAGCCGACTGCACAACCGCAGATTTTCCTTCTCGTTCCAAATGACCCAAGTTGAGGTTAGTAAAATAATAACGCAGCAGCATAGTTTGAAAGTAACTTGGAGAATTCAGGGGCTACCCACGAACTAATTTAAATGGACTGGGGTTAGCTAAACGTTTGAAAATTGGCCTCGTGCATTGACTCAGACACTGAGGCTAGCGCTCTTGACGCGTGCAAGTTCCTCTTAAAATAAGCCATTGATGCATGAAACACACAGGAAGCATTAACTTTCATCTGTTTTTATTTCTGCACAACATGCAGTAATTGTGGGATATCCCCTGGTTGTGTAAACATAACCCCTCACATTGATTGGCGGACTGGTTAAAAAAGTTTTTGAGGTGGGGAAGCGACTGTTCTCAAATCTTCGTGGTTTCAGGGGGTCAAACTGCCTGAAACTGTTAGAGAGCCCATTAATGAGACACTGACTGGAGATTGAAAATAACCAAGATCAGACTTCCCCCGACCTTTCAACCCGTGCCCAGCTGGCTACCGAGATCTCCCAAGGAGGTGGTTTCAATAAGACTTAAAGACGCCACTCCTTCCTTCTCATCGCACCGCTATGACTGCGCCATACGAATCTCCTGCCTGGGTCCCACCTTGCCGCCAAGGGAAGACCTGTATTCTCTGTCTCTTGCTCGAGAGATCTATGAGCGGAGTTACATAGAACGGCTCTCTCAAAAACAAGGCCTCATCCTTCCTACGTTCCATCTCCGCCGGAGCTTGGTTTATTTCCTTCGTCGAGAGAAAAGATGGATACCTGAGACCTGTATGCGCTACAGCCCCCTAAACCGACATTAACCATCAAAAACAGGTACCCCCTCTCCCGCTTTATGGCCTCAAGCGTTTGAACATTAAAGGTGCTAGAGTTTTTTCAAACTTGAAACCTGCGTAACGCTTACCACTGGTAAGGAATACCGAGAGCGGGCGAACGAGTGGAAGACTGGTTTTCAACACCCAAGCGACATTATGAATCCGGTAATGCCCTTTTTGTGTAACAAACGGCACCTTGCGCCGTTTTTCGGCGCTCCATAAAGTGTTGTTGAGGGAGTTTTTGAATAAATTTTTGTTTGTTTTCCTACTGAATGAATATTTTGATTTTTTCCTGTTGATGAGGAATTCACACGTTCCGCAATGTTTGCCAAGTATTAGAACGTCGTTGGAACAGAATGACTTTATGTAAAGGCTGAAAAATGGTGCAGTTCCAACGTCAGTTTCCACCTTAATTTCGGGTTTTCATCCTGGTCTACCAGATCCAATGATGGGAAATCTGGCTAAGTTCGAAGTCGCTGCGCGCTGGCGATTGGCCCCAACACCCCTCCTTCCAGGAAAAAAGTCCAACAAGTTTTCCTTGAATTTGCAAACTTCTTACAGGAAGTTTGTTAGGAATTTTAGTTCTATTGCCCGCGCCTATGCATGTACTTACCACCCTTCCTCTGTTTAGCTTTTGCTTCACCCCACAGGCAGACCAAGCTTTAAAAAAAGGTGTTCAGCAAACAAGCTCCAATAACTTACAAGCATTCCCGGAGTCCTCACGGCCAGTGGAGGTGGATGGCCATTCCAACGAGGGCCATCGGAGGCGGTCCTCTCACAGAGGGCAGAAGAAAGACAATAAGCTCCGATCCATCCGTTGCCTACTTTCACATAAGTTGACACTGGCTGCGGAAACGAAACTGATGATGTAGGGCAATAGAAGTTATTAAGCCGTGAAGGTAGGACGCTCGGATGAAGTGGAGGACACTGGCTAGAAGGGGGCGCAAAACAACCTTTTTATTGTGTGGACAGCACCACAACAAATTTGGAGTAATACGCGAGGCTAAGAGTAAACTTCAGACAGCAGATGACCTTTATTTTCACATAGGTTTACGTTCACTTCTCTTCCTACCCGGTCCTGGCTCACAGAAACACCAAAATCCAGCACGCGTTTATCCAAGCTTTTTCGGCCAGAAGCTCCTTTTCCAAAGGAGACCAAATCCATTCTACGCACCTTTTACCACTCGGTGATAGGAGGGGTGGACATGGCCCAATTGAGGCGCTAAGGAACAAGCATTAGAGGGGAAAACTGCGTAACCCAGCGGTGGCCCCCTAGCCGTCTCTTTTTGTTCCCCCAATCTGTCCGCTCTGAACGTGATTCACTGGTCCTGTACTCAACAATGTCCATTACAGGTATCAAAAGAACTGATGTACATGTGGTAAGCAAAGGGTTTTTGGTGGCCTAAATGGAGAAGCGAGGTTACTGCGAGAGTATGTGGCAGGCCTGCAACTAGCTGTGCTCGGAAATAAGGACCTCTACCCCAGTTTCTTAATGGGTCTACTGCAACCTTTGTATTCCAAAAGCCGCCCACATGGTTCTGCACATCTCGCTTGGATTTTGTCACTGGATGCCCGCCTCTGCAGGTAACACCGAACCATCTGCCACTGTGTGACAGATTTACCAAACATGAACTCAATTTTATCCCCATGCCCAAATCGGCCCTCTCGCTAAAGAGACAGCAAGAAGCGCTCTGATCTCAACTCGTTTTCAGGCTGCAAATGGTTTTCCTCCGAGATGTGGTGTCAGACCGGTGGGCCCGGCAGTTCCGTTTTCCCAGTTTTTGGAAGGAAATTCTGCGCCTGATTAGGAAGCCACTGCCAGCCTCACACCTGTTACCCGAACAGGTAACACCAATGTGCGCTCTGTTTTGACAAACCCCGTGATAAGTTCTCAAGCTCTTGTGATTGGTTGACCTCCAACTGCAGTTCCATATGAAAAAAAAACGTTCGTAAAAGACAAATCGATACACATAAAAACGCAGTGTGGTAAGTTCGCGGAAAGTAAACGCATAGCTGGGGATTCCTGGGTAGTGTAAATTCGTCTCTGGCNGAGTCGTCCGACTCCTGCCCACCACTCGGCTCCAGAAACAGGCTGTCGTCCCTGTGCTCCTGGACGGGCCAGTCGTCCTCCTCAGCCGCGGCAGCTAGAGCGTCCGCTCTTCGCTGCCTGTCGGCTGATGGGAGACGGGCACAATGCGAACACGCGACCTGCTGGCTGAGAGCCGCGTACGCGTGCTCTGGCCCCAGACAGGATTCGCATATCGCGTGTAGGTCATAGCTCATGATGTACCCCGTTTTACATGAGGGACAATCACGGACACAATTGTTGCTCATGACTCTAATTCCTTTCCTGTGCTTCAGTACTGCTGACGGTTGCTGAAGAAAAGAGGGAGCAGATTGCCGGGCCTCCTTCCTATTTATACCGGAAGGAGGCCCGAGGGTGGGGCCCACCTTGCGGGTGGGCGTGGACTACAAGTGTTTCAGTGCTGCGCGGGGGCGCAGGGGGATTACCTAATAGCGATAGCCTTAGAGGGCTGCGCCATTTACTCATAGAAGCTGGGGTTATAGTAGGTAACCTCAGATCTAGACAAGAAAAAACACAACACAGACAGATCGTGACACTTTGTCAATGATTGCCTTACAGTGTTCCCTAAAAAAACATTAAATTGTCTTATTGTACCGGCCATCCGTCATATTATGTGATTCCTTTAATCTAAAGGTATATGCTGAATCAAAAATATATATAATACATCTGAAAATTGTTTAGCTCTTTTTGATTTCTCCTAAGACTGCTACAGTTCTTTGTCCAGAGCATTCTTTTTTCAAAAGGTTTTTATCAAATCATTAATAAGTGACAAGAAGAACACTTTTATTGGGATGAAATGTAATACTCTGATGGATGCTCCACAGGAGAGTGGAGGGGAAGCATGTGCAGAATGATGATGTACTGTTTAGGGACGAGAGAGCTCACAACTGAAGCTTCCTTATAATTAGAAAGTGCGGTTTTAAGCCTCCTTTCAGGGGTAAAAGGAGAGACCTAAATATATGTCTACAGTGGATCAGTGCACATACTTGTGATTTGGTTATTTTATAAAGACAGAAAATTAGATGGTACGCTTGAAATTATACCACACATAGATATTATTTCACTATAACAATCCCATGATAAATCATCTTTTTGTCATGCAAAACTCACAGCAAACCTTCAAATGTATGCCATACAAAATACTGAACAGCAGCCCAGCCTACAACAATGACTATTGCTAACAATGTTGCATATTAGCAGCAAAGACAACAACAAATCAATATTTATTAGCATTGTAGAATTATAACATTGACTTTGTAGACCAAATGTGGTTAGTGAAATCAGATTTTGTTGTTATTCACCTGCGTGGCTTACCATGATGTCATGCTCTTTACCTGACCAGCACCACTGCAAGCTTACTTGGATAGTATAGCCTTTAAACTTCGATCTTTGCATAGACATTGAAGTCACATTCTCCATTGCACCCATACTGAAGCTTTACCCCAAAACAACCCATCATCTCAATACACTCAAACTCTGCCATCCCAGCCAGTTGTCCTGTTCTTGTTACGCCCGCCAACAACCCTCTTTACAATCAGGCATGCAGGAACTTAATGAATATCAGGTTGAACTGACACAAAAGTCACACAAATGTCACTGGTGCTGATTCAGCATTGCCACAAATCTGTTATGTATCCAATTTGGGGCCAAGTTTGAAGGTGGCTCAATTTAGAATTGAATATATCACATTTATCGAGATTTTCTTTATACAAAAAAACACTGAAACACTTTTGAGGTAGAAAAAATTATGTTCTCTAAATCTGAATCAATGATACATTTAAATACACATTTTTGGGATGGACTCATACATTTGTTTAGATTTTATCTTAACAGGACATAATTTGGTACACTGTACTGGTGCTGCTGTTGCTATAGTATTTAGTTTATGTTCATTATTTATGATCTATGGGTTTATTAGTGCCTATATGAAACTGATAAAAACATGCTTTGATGAGCATTGAAATGTTTCAAATATTACTTTGTGGGATCTAATGCACTTTGTAGGTCTCTCATACCCTGATACCAGCATACTTAGAATACATTTACAACACCTTATTTCCAACTTTATACATACAGTGTATAGTATCTGTTGTGGTACTATTCCTGGTCAACATTATGTTTATATGAGAAGCTGCAGTGTGTCTCCATTCTTAATAACGGAACATAAAGTGACTTCATTGTACTTAAAGGTTGTTTTCTATGTCTGATGGAAGCACTTTTATATACCTAAAGGATTTTGCAATGTGCCTGTTATAGTGATTAATGCTGTTATAGTGATTTTTTTGTCTAAACGATAACTCTAATTATCCCTTTTGGAACATTTTGCAATACATAAATGATGTGCCCACAGTGATCATTTAGGACCTAATTACATTTGAATATACAACTTAATATCCCTCCAGTAACTTTTTGTAAATATGTGGTACCGAATAATGGCTTTGTAATGACATCCTATGCCCATTACACCCTCACTAAAAACCACTGTCAATTGCCTCCACTGACTGAAGTGGCTACAGAGAAGCATTCTCCCCCTCTATTCCTCTTTTTGACCCACATTGTGTTAAAAGAAAGCAGCTTTAGAGGATTAAAATACATTTTGTGGAAGAAGCGCAAACAAATAACTCATGCAGATTCATTCAGATACTGTATGAATATACTTTGATTTGCTGACCACCAGTTTATTTTAAAAATACATTGTAATTTAAGAAATGACAACGAGAGCAGAGATTTTGGGCGAGCCAATATATTGCGGGATAGGAAAGTATGTAGTGTGACGAGGAACATAAAATGCCATAAAACTAAGAGATTTAGGATATTCAATATTTGTTTTGTATGTTATAACACGGAACGCGATACATGTATGTTATTAGCGCTAATTTGTTTATAAATTAGCCTAAATAACCCGCGTCAGACAGAGTTAGCTCCCCCCCATATTACGTTTGGTACAGCCCACAGCTCCTTTTGGTAGCTACAGCGTCAGGAACTAGAGCACAATATGTTGGAGACCATAGCCAGGCTGTTCCCTTCAGAGTTAACTTTTTAATCCCGGTTTTGTTGCGTTATCACACACAAGGGAAGGAGGCGGAGGAGGTCGGGGAGAGAAAGGGGGCTAAAAAGTCAGTCATGGTATGAGGTTAGCGTGAAATCCGGAGCGTCCACTTGCAACAGAAGCCCGTTGATATTTAACTGTGAGAAGAAGGAGAAGAAGAAGAAGAAGAAGAAGAGGGAAAAAGGAAAGGGAAGCCCGGAGAAGCGAGAGAAAAGCGGGGTACAAGATGCAGCTGGCCGCGGTGCTGTGGGGCTCCCTGATAACTTTGCTTCTGAGCCAGAGTCCAGGTAAGAACATTTTGGTTTTAAAACGCTGCAAAGTGGAGTTGAAACTGCATGTGAGGGTGTTTTGGAAAACGTGAACGGTATTTTGCTCGGCCGGTTCAAAGAGTGTTTTTGTTTTATTTTTGTCCTTATCAGCTGTATGCATTGCTTTGAATTGCAGATGCAGACATAAAAACCTAGCGGCAAAGTTCCCCCTTAATAGAGAATGCAATTTAGGTGGTTAAAATAGAAACTGTAGTGGAAAATGTGTGTGCGTTCATCCTTTTAATTTTTTGTTGTTGTTATCTTGTTTGACAACATGCTTGTGCAAGTGGGGAGGCAATGGCCCGTTATTGTTGTTATTGGTATAACTTTTATAATTTCACTTTTTTACTTATGTTTTGCACTCTTTACCCTACTTGTCCTGCATGCCAGCTATATTGGAAGTGTATGTGTAATACATGTTGTATGGCGTTACATTCGGAATAAATAGGGGTTTTGAAGGTTTTAGAACGGTTTTGTTACATGCAAGTGAGGTAGAGTATGAGTGGTGTATGGTCATGCATTATGTGCTGTCAGACTTCCACCTCAAGGCAGATTGCCTTCAGTCCTGGTTGATGAATAAAGCGAATAAAACCCCACATCAAAATTCAGTAAGAATTTTAAGATGTAGATGCCTTGAAAAAGAATGCCTTGAAATGCTCAAAAGTTTGATTTTGTGCCTTTGCCCTGGTTATAATCGGGTAGAAAGTTATGTGCACTAACTTAAAACCTAA